AGTAGCTTCGCTGTTCAGGGTCGGCACATATTCTTAGGCCTCTGACTGTATTCGGCTTCTTGGCTGGCGCCATTCAGCTGTTTGCCGGTTGTCCGTTTGTTATCGGCGATTCTTAGGCCTTCCAATAGTCGTTAGCTTCTTGGCCGATGCCATTCAGCTGTTTGCCGGCTGTCCGTTTGTTATCGGCGATTCAGAGCAGAAGCGACCGAGACCATTAATTAGCTTTCGTTGATTATCAGAGGTGTGCAAGCCTCGCAACAGTATACTGGTATAAGCTAGTATACTGGTACGTACCAGTACAGTGAAACAGTTGGTTGGTGCAGTTGGAAAATTTTCTGGTTCAGTTTGAAGTTCAAAAACTGCAGTTGGGCTGATGCAGTGTACTGGTATACTGTGTAAAACTGCCAGTACATATGATCTGATATATAACTGTATAAATGGCTCAATATTAGCCAGGTTGAAACTACAATCGAAAGTATTTCTAGACTCGATGAATACGAAAAATACTGCAAACTTCCAGTAGTTAATATCTCAAAGGATGCTGGTTCTCCACTGAAGTGGTGGCTTGAAACACACCAGCGAAAGCAGTATCCCAACCTCTCAAAGATGGCTATTGATGTTGCATAAATAGACCTGACCAATGACAGAGCTGACTGCAAGCCGTAGGGCACAAGGCACACTACTCTCTTGTATATAGTTCGAGTCTTTTCTCCTCTCTCTCATTACACTTAGTATCTTAATCTACACACACGGTTCTCCCCTCATTATTGCAACAATTGACATACTCTCAATTCCACCAATGTCTGCAGAACCGGAACGTCTTTTTTCAAGTGCCAAATAAACAATATCTGACGAACACCACTCATTGGGATCTCGCACTATCGAAGCAATTGAATGTTTGAAATCAAGTACTGCTACTAGTTCAAAGGCAGCAGATGCTCTGAGAGCAAGTCCACAGCAGTCTCAACAGGTGGGTAAAGGTGTATAGGTGTGGGTGAAGGATGTAGATGTGAGTGAGGGGCATAGTAGTCAGCGGAGGGCATGGTGTGCAAGATATTGTATGGTTTATTATAACTGTTTTCCAGTTGTACTGGTTTGTACTGGCAGTTTTTCTACTGGCAGTTTGCTGGTACAAACCAGTACAGTATACTAGTATATAGACCCAGTACAGTTCTTGAATTTAAACAGTTGGTATTTCACAGTTCAGTTCAGTTTGAGTGCCGATATCGTACCAGTTTGTACTGTTGTGAGGCTTGGAGGTGTGGATGCTCGTTTGCTGGCCATCCGAAAAGGTTGACTGTTAAATTGTATGTACGAATTGATGCTTGATTCTAATGATATCTATGTCGAAATCTATGGTCTATTACAGCCTGACATACATCAAGAAGAGAGAACCACTGCAAAAGCATGGAGTAAAGACGGTGGCGATCTTTAGCGACTAACAAGCCGCCATTCGACGGACGGCACATCTGGAGCCGAGCCCTGGACAGCGATTGGCGAGAAGGGTCAATCGAAGAGCGCTGGCCCTACTCGCCCATGGCATCGCAACGGTGATTCATTGGGTCCCTGCGCACTCCGGCATTGCCAGGAACAAAGAAGCACACCGCCAGGCGAATTTAGCCTGAGATGGGAATGGAAGCACGGCAATAGAGCGGCCATACACCTCGGCTTCGAATAGAGCTAGGCGGATCTCTGAGGGAAGATCAGCCGCCAAGGCACGGTGGGAGGCCGACAAATGCAGTAAGCACTTCGGCTACAGACTGAAGGGCAAGGCAGGCGGTAAGAGACCCATCCCAATGGCAAGTGCAAAGTCATTGGCAACTCGATTCTACCGACTAAAATGCGGACATGCACCTACTGGAGTTCACCTCAAACGGTTTGGACACCGGGAGGACGACCAGTGCTGGTGGTGCAGAGGGACGGCGGCCCAGACGCGGGAGCATCTCTTCCGTCACTGCGGCCGCTGGAAACACCAGCAGCAGGAGCTCTGGAAGATGGTGGGGAAGGCAACGGGCTGGAAAGCGGGCAGGTGTTGGCAGGTACAGATATCTGAGCTGTTTTCCATGGAGATATGTGACAAGGTGGTGATGGACTTTCTGGCGGCCACGGACTTTGGGAATTTCCCGCCTATGTGAGGCATGGAGCATGGAGGTTGGTGGTGTCGATCGTTTGCTTTTCTTTTGTCATGGAGGATGGTCATTCATTCACGTTTCTTTTGTCAGCGGGGATGATGGGTAGTAGGTGGGAGCTCCGCCATCTAACTGGCTCGCATGGAGGCGGAGGTGTTAAGGGTCCTGTCATACTCTAGCTAGAGTAAATACAGTATGAATAAACAACAACAACAACAGCCTGACATACAGTCTGGAACTCATGTGCTTATGCACCATTCCATATCCTTGTTTCATATCCTCATACAAGATCTCATACAAGATCCTGATACACGATCCTAATGTATATATGCAACATTGGCTGTTGCATAAATAGATCTGACCGATGATATAACCGATGATATAACCGATGATGCAGCTGACTGCACACCACTCTCTTGTATATAGTTCGAGTCTTTCTCTTTCTCTGTTTACACTTAGTATCTTAATCTACACACTCGGTTCTCCCCTCATTATTGCAACAGGTTATGAGCCCGGTGATCGCCTTTCTCTCTTTATAAAACTCAATTCTATTGTTACACGGAAATCTCACAAATACCATCGAACCCTAACCCTTCGCTCCTCCGCCACTACTCTACAATGTCGTCGTCCTCTTCTTACAACCATCTCGTTCCGAAACTCAACAATAGCAACTATGCGACTTGGAAAACGAAAATGGAGATGCTGCTTATCCGGGAAGGCCTTTGGTCGATTGTCTCTCAGCGAAAGGTCCGCCCTACAGTCACCACTGGTACCGAAAGCACCACCAGCAGCAGCAGCCGAAGTTATTTGTCTTTCAGCTGTCTTTCGGATGGATTTGGCCCTTTGGCTGTTTGGCAACTATGGTTATTTGGCCCGCAGCAATTTCTGACACCTTGGATGTAGTTCACCCTTTGGGCCTGCATTGAAGTTTGAGAGATTCAGTCATTTGGGCCTACAGCGAAATTTAGTTCTTTGGGCTTGCAGTGTTTTCATTGCGATACTCCCAGCGCATATGACTTCACGTCATCTCTCCTTTGCCCAATCTAACAGATGCAATTTCACTTCAAATTAATTTAAGCACACACCTGACCCCTGAGTGTCGGAGCTCCGAAAACTACTGTAAGGATGCTCGATGCTGCTGAGATCGTGAGATCCTCATCGCTCCTGAGATCCTTGGCACTCCTGAGATCCTTGACGCCCGGCGCTTCTGAGATCCTTGACGCCCGGCGCTCCTGAGATCCTTGACGCTTCAGAGATCCCCGGCACTCCTGAGATGCTCGTTGCTCCTGAGATGCTCGGTACTCCGGAGATGCTCGGCGCTCCTGAGATGCTCGTTGCTCCTGAGATGCTCGTTGCTCCTGAGATCATCGGCACTCCTGAGATGCTCCAAACTTATGAGATCATCGGCGCTCCTGAGGTTTTCCAAGAGGAATCTGCTGCTTGAATCCTATGAAATCTCCATGTATATAAGTGCGAGTACAGCCGATCATGATCAACTATCCACTGAATCTCCCTGGTGATGGTGATGGTGATGGTGATGGTGATGGCTACCGCACTCTAAGATGAGCTAACTTCAAAAGCTAAGTCCGGGCATTAGCCAGCCAGTGCTTCCGATGCTGACTAGTATTCCGATGCTGCCCACAGCTTCCGATACTGGCCAGTGCTTTCAATTCCGCAAAACTGTCAAAAGACCAAATGACCAAATGCGTAGAATAGCCAAATTTCACGGTGCCAGAGGTTAGTCAATCAACAGAACTGCGCAAGAGTCCAAACGTCTAAATGCATGACTTTCGGTAACTTTGGACTTACCAGCGGATGCGAAGCAACTAAAGGAATTTCTCACTTGGAAGCGAGCATTCTTTTCAAACTTTCTTTTCGAACTTTATGAAGTTGAGAGTTGCCAAATGACACTAAACTCCACCTGCACTTCCGCGATGAAGCTGCAAACTATTTTTGAAAGAAAAGGATTTTCAGCCCGATTCTATCTTTGGCAAAAGATCATTACCCTTCAGCTCGCTAAGTACCGAAAACACGATGAAGGAAATGCAATGGAACTCTACCTTTATGGATTCCGCTTGGATATCAAGCAGCTTCGCAGCTCAGGTGCTATTGTCAGTAATGAAATCGAGGCATCAGTACTCCTCAATGGTCTATATAGTGGTTACGAAAGCTTTATTGTTACAACTACCCAAACATTCCGCCAGAATGTTGAAGTGGATTCAGAAATCGATGTGGAACAATGGATCGGCCAGCTCAGTGACGAGCACCACCGACATACGGCTGGATGAATGCCTACTGAGATTGGTGATGCTGGTACTGGATCAGCTCTGTACTCTAACCGCAAGCCTCCATGGTCACAGCCATCTGAATGCATTAAATCTTGTTCTATTTGCAATCATTGTAACCAAGATGGTCATCACCAGGATGTATATTTTGTTCTACACCCAGAATTGAATCCAGAGAGATTTGACACAAGAAGGTGTATCCAATTTCCTGGCATTGCAACAGGTGACTGAGATTGACTATGAGTGTACTATCGCATTGATACATTCTTATTTGATGACATATTTGTGATTCATCTAAATATGATGTCTTTGCTACCATGTGACCAAGAGTTGTTTTTGCCCTCCTAGTAAAAAGAGTACAATTATATCTATATTAGTTTAATTATTGCAGGCATAACCTAGAGTTCCATATTGTTATTTCTTTGTTTCTGAGGATGGTTCAGGTTTCTGGGGAGTATCCTGCACCATGGCTATTGACCAGCAATATAGGACCATTGTCTGTGAGTTGTTCGGTATTGCTTACTGCTTTTGAATTTATAGAGCACAGGAAGAAGGATATTGGAACATATCAATCCACACTCATCAAGGGCCGGTAGCTCAGTTGGTAGAGCATACATCTAGTATAGAAATGTTCTAGGTTTGACTCCTAGCCAGTGCATTCTTTTCTGTGGCTCACCATGGTATCAATGCCTTGTTGGTGAAACGCGGGATCGCTTGAAAGTGGGCCCCAGTGATTGTACACCAGATAGACTACGGCTTCAGGAAAAGTATTGAAACATATCAATTTACACTCATCAAGGGCAGGTAGCTCAGTGGGTACAGCATCCATTGAAAATAGACAGGTCATATGTTCTATTTCTTGCCAGTCCATTCTTTTCTATGGCTTAACAAAGGAAAATTATTGCATTTATAGATTTGACCAATAATCTAACCAATATTTTAATCAATAATGCAACCAATAATATAACCAGTAATATAAACAATAGAGTAACCAATGATGTAAATAATGATGAAAGCAATGATGGAGCTGACTACATATCACTCTCTAGTATATAGTTCAAGTCATTCTCTTTCTCGCTCTGCACTTGGTATTATAATCTATACCCACATTAACTGCACAAAAGGAATAAACGAATATAAATACAGCAGGTTGAATGAATATGAAGTGATGTCCAATCGAGCAGAGCAAAGCCAAATGAAGTAAAGTGATATTGATTCTACTACTGTCTGGAGTTACCCATGTTCCTACATAATCAGATGTAGTAAATCTCATTTTCAATAGGCCAAGGATGTCAAAAGACAAATATATTTGAAAGACACAGTGGAGAAGCTAGACAATAAAGTGGATTTTTTTAATAGCTACATAGCTGATACCATTTATCAAATAAATAAACTAAGCAAGCTCAATCAACAGTTCAAATTATATTGACAACATTATTTGGTAGAGTATACTGTGCAGATAGGGAGGAAGTATGAAGTAGTATACTTTGAGTGGAGTAAAGTTATTTCAATATTTATTTATATTGAAGTGAACTGAGGGTGACTTGAAAAAGAGATTTATAATTGAATAGTGAATCAAACTGTCATATAAAAGAGATAGATATGAAGTGGAGGGAACTTATTATAAAATAATATATACAAGGAATACAAATCCAAGTGACCTATAAAAGGCCCAGGTTTAGACAAGTGAAGCCAAAATCACTGACTGGTATAAAAGGTGATAGAAGCCAAGCAAAGACAACTTGTCATGGTGGTGTCGAGTTTGGATCGGAGAAACTGGTGATGCTTGGTGCGATGAACCTTAGGAATACAAGACATAAGGAAGGAATCAGGTTGTGATGGAAAGAATCAGGTTTCGCTGGAAGGAATCAAGATGTGTTGGAAAGAATATGGTTTTGTTGGTTGTGTCAAAAATATGGCGTAATGGTTTTGATTGAAAGGGTTGCAGTGCATAATTGGATACAGTTGGGAAGTATTTCGGAACAAGTAAGTAAAGGTGATGACTGTTACATTAGCAGTATATATAGGTGATAGATTTGTGCAGGATAGATTTGTTCTTACTTGTTTTCTACTCTACAACACAATCAATAGCTTCAGCATCAATGTCTGTTCATTTTCGTGATTTTGGATTTCCAGTCACTTGACTTGTCTGCAGTCCTTGCAGTTCCGAATCATAGTATGGTTAGTTTAACCCGTAGAACACCAAGCCTATGAATCTTGACCCAACTGCTATATGAAAGATACTTATAAAAGGAAAGTGAAGTAAAAATAACTGACTTGTAACTTAATGGATTTATTGAAGTGAAGTGAAGACTACAGATATATAGATAATAATTAATAAATGAAAGTGAAGTGAAAACAACTGATATGAAAATGTAATATATAAAAGGAAAGCAGAGTGAAGACAACTGAGTTGAAAGAAATTTATAGAAGTGATACCAAGAGAACTGATATATAAATAGATTTATAAAAATGAGGTGAAGATGAAAGCCATTAATTCATGCCAAGCAAGGATGACTGACTTGTTAAAAGAATGTATAAGAAGTAAAAACAATTGATGTATAGAAGAGTTGTATAGAAGTGAAGCAGAGGACTAGTACTTATCATTTTTATATTTTTTTATCGGCCAAGCAATTTAATTTGGATGATTGTAGTTGTCCATTTCATGGGCCAATAAATGGATGCATTATTCATTCAACCATGCTGTCCATAAATGGCTTGGCCAATTCATAGATTTCTGACTACCACAAATGGGTTACAACAAACCTGAGTACTATCATATATATCGCTGTTCTAGAATCCACATCTGGAACTAGCTTCTCTGTTGAATGAACTCAGTAGCCATGCCATGGTTGAACCATCTCTGTGAATGGTTTGGAACAACAGCAATACACTTGGTCCGAATCTTGCTGAATGAAGTATGGATATTTCATGTTCCATAATTGAACATAGTGTCAGAACGGGACTCCAGGTTCCCATTGACATTTGGAACCTTATTGGTTGATGTACATACTACCCGACAAAACATATCTTGGCCATAAAACTCTCAAATGGAGATGCGCAACATATGGGTTAATCAAATAATGGAAAACTACTTGTGGAATTGCTGAAATTTAGAACAGGATAATTGGTCCAAGATTGTATCCATAACAGAGTATGACTATAATAACTCTTTCACCACCACTATGTGAATATCACCATTGTTTATAATCTGTGGATTTGACACTGCAATCGATTGGTTCATCAACAAACAAGCAAAGATTTTGGCATCTTAGATCTATATTTATACAATGACCAGCATTCATCCACTCTGCTCTAACAGCTTGGAATATTTGTAGGACAATATAGAACAGTACCCTGATAGATGGGCTAACAAACCTCCAAAGTATATGATTGGTGATCTTGTTATCCTAAATATGATAAACTTCAACACTGTTGGAACCAAGAAAAGAATGAACGGTTGATATCTGTTGGCATGGTAGATTTCCAAGATTCAGGTCCAAATTATATGTATAGATATGATCAAAGCAAAGCTTTACCAAGAAGTATTTGATGACATCACGCAGCATTTTGCCGACCAAATGAACTGTGGGATTGAGCCATTGTTCAACACAGTTATGATATTCAGTGCCTCCAGGATAAATATTGAGTTTGTTATATGTAGTCAACTTACCATCCACAAAATCATGTTGACTATTTTGGAAACTAGATACGAAGCTTTATGCACCCTTTATGGTCTGCAAGGTGCTCCCGGCCACCACTATTAATCTTTATGTACCAAATCGATAGTTTATTTACAATATATTGAATCTTGCACTGATAGAACCATATTGACTGCCCACCAACTGTACGAGATCTGAACTTATTCTGCCTCAACCGGTGGGTAGAATGTACATAGTCATGATATTGATGGCTACAACAATAAGACAGGTTTCAATGTAGTGGATGTCAAGGGTAGCCAGCATAGCATGCAATGGAAACAGAATATATATCTGGTCATGTGGATGGATATACTGAAGCACAACATTGGACTGAGAAACCATCTGAGAACTTCAACAATGTTAAACTATGAAAGAACTATAACAGACGGAATCCGAACACGACAAACTGAAAGGTTGAGCTAGTGCACTTTATCTACAGAGGATTTTTAATCGCTGGCAACGAACCAAATGAAGTATTTGGGTTTGTTAGATTACAGGTGTCATATTTTCATAAATTATGAAATAGAAATAATGGAATTTGGTTTTCACCATATATTGGATTACAAAATTTTCAAATCAAAGAAAAAGAAAACAGAGTATCTAATATGGATTTAAGCAATCTGATTGGTCGATTCTGCTTGCTGCCATGTTTCACCTGAATGCAAGCTGATTGATTGGTTCATGTAAGTGGGTCTGTGCAGACCCACTCACATAGCAGTTTTTGAAAACAATTTACTCCAGTATTCTCAATCATATTTCATGTTCTAGAAAGACTGTGAAGTTTGTTGCTCTGTGGAGTGACTGGTCAGTTTATGGAGTCCCACCTTCCATGAATGAACCAGTCAGATGGGTATTTCATGAACTGACTGGCATATAATACACACTGCCGATGAGAATAATATTGAGACTTAAAAATTGAATGGCAAGAGATGATAAGAATGAATTGTCTACCGATACAGGAGAAGGAAAAACAGTAGACATGAATATGAAAGACAGAGAAGGAAAACTCCATGCCGACTGCCAAAGCCGGAGCCGAGCATCAGTGCCGAGTCTACCTTCTCAGCATGGCGGTACGTACGGCCGATGGTGGCAGGTGAGGCTGGTGGGGGCAGGCGAGGCAAATATGCGCGGCAAGCCACCGGCTTCATGCCCGAGCCCACCATCATTGAAGACTATGAAAGCCACCGGACCAAATCCCTAGTCAACAAATAATTAACACTGCATTTCTTAATACTGGGGCACAACTACAATTACACTACGCTGCATGTATACATCAGGTACCTGGGCTGCTGACAAGTTCTTGTTCGCTTTCTCTACATTTCCACATTGTCTTCGCTATTCTCATTTCTACTGACAATTCCGCTCTTGCTGTCATATTTGCCATGGCTTTTCCCTCGCTTTCATGATTCTTCTTAGTCTCTTCCTAGGGACAAGTATCCTCGTATACATAGTTATATCAGCTATTGGCTGAATACCCTCATGTTTTTTCCTAACTGTGCATTGCATTTTTTTGCGAACTCTGAGGAGCTGGATTAGCATTGGGAGTGACACTGGGCATCGAGCTGCGGATTTGATACACGGCTTTGCCGAGTATGGTCCCTTTTTCCCAATACTATATGTTCATCTTTCACTCTCTTTGTTCTTTAGACAATGACTTTTGTATGATAGTCATGTGAATATCTCTATTTGGACTTGATCAATCTCAACATTGTACGATATCGCAGCCAGTATTAGTGCCATCTGCATGGCCATGACATCCATGGCATTGAAGTTTACAGTCGATCGAAGACTTACAACATTTACTAATCAATTGTTGAGACTATTCCAAGGAGAAGAGAGACAAAATATCATTGAACCATCTATTGTACAAAGAGGGAATAAGATAGACACCAACAATAGACGAATTGATACTATAAACGAAGTACTACTGATGCCAGAGGATTACACAGAATGAGGC